CCCTAAAGCACTAATCAGAAAATTAGGTCCCCTATTAGTGCTTTAAGGGAACTGTGCCCGCCACTGCATCCTATATGTAAATTTGACACCTATAGAAGCCAATTCGATCGTCTTCTGAAAGTTTTATTAAAATAAGTTCATGGATTCATTAGGTATTTTGACAAAAATGTCATCTTACCATTTTGCTTTTCTAGAGTTGCTGGTGAAACTCAGAAACTGGGCTTGTACAAACGCACCTTTGTTAGTCTGGCAGTTCGGTGTAGTTTTATCTCTCCCTGTCTGCTGTGCGCAGCCTCGACCGAGCTCACACCAAACTGTAACTTTCACATGATGGTGCACGCTTCACTCATCTCCGCCACTCCATTTCATTAGCGCACACGAGGAGCACTCTGTGAGAGCTGATCTAATACGCTCTGTTTTCTTTTAAAAGCCAAGTGCCTGTCATGCAGCCGCGCTGTAAATACGACAGCCTTGTCCTTCCCCCTTCTTTCAACTGGACAAACAGGCTTTGGCCTGTTTTTTTTTTTTTTTTTTTGTCAAAGTAAATACCAGAGACAGCCTGCCTGGAAGTGTCATGCGTATCCTTAAAAGCTATTTCAGTTAGTCAGTACCGCCCTCCGCCTAAAGGGTGATAATGTTTTTTAATAAAACTTTCAGGAAGTAATAGTATGTTGAAAGCTGACCGGTTCAAGATGGCCGCCAACTGACCCCAGCTAACACACAAAAAACGGCTCTCGCTCAGCCATAAAGATAACTTTTAAAGATAAAAAAATAATCACCTAGAGTCAGAACCAGTGGTGGACACAGTTCCACTAAAGCACTAACAGGGGACCTAATTTCTTGATTAGTGCTTTAGGGCTTTTGCTATTTTTTAAATGTATTAGTGGATTAGCACTTGTTGAATTTATGGGCTAAATTTAGAAGCACTAACCAAGGTCTTTAAATGTTATTGATCAACATCATTGTTCACAGTTGAGGGTGAAAGCTGTCATACATCACTTATCTACAAGGTCACATGTCAAACTRAAGGCTCATGGGCCAAATGTGGCCTGCGGGTGACTCCCATTTGGCCCAGCAAGGGCACTAAGTGACAACATTCTGCACACAGTAAATAATGTCTCATGTTGACTCTGAAGAATGTTTCATGTGACAACTGGATTATATCAGTGCTTTATAATTAGCTTTTGCTAAAATCTTCAGTGCGTTAGTGCTTTAGAATTAGGGGACCTAAATATTTGAGTTAGCGCTTTAGGGTTAGCTGCCCACCACTGGTCACAATCATTTCTCTGTTAGCAAAACCTCTCATGAACTACAGATTTTGATGAAATTCTCAGAAATTAACTGTTTTCATACAGCTAACACTGATTAACTTTTGGTATCAACCTAATTTAAGATAGCTCACACAGCTAATTAAATGTTGCAATTACATAAATATGTCTAACTCAGTCAAATACACAAATATTGAGTTCAAGTTTGATGCATAAGTATCTGAAAGTCATCCTCAACACATATTCTAATCAGGAATAAAAGGAAAAAATGCTAAGTCTTTAAATTAGTATATAAAGTTAGTGTATATATAAACATTTGGATTACTTGTGGGCTTTTCATGTGTTTCATCTGGATGCATTTGTAATTTCTCTTTATTCATTGCTTCATTCATGTTTTTTAGACCTCGGCTCAGGTTGCTGTTCTTAGATCTGGCGAGCAGCACAAACTCTGCCCCATTTTCCCTTCTAGTATCACTCCCAGGATGATGAAGTTGCAAATCTAACAAATGAGAGACAGGAGGAGAAGATGCATTAATCACCAGGGAAACAGCTGATTGAGGATGACTTAAAAAGACAGAGCCATTACTCTGGGAGCCTGCAGTGGTGCTAATCTGATTGCAGAACTGTTAGGCTAAAACAACACAGCCCGCTGCGCTGACGCTGACCACCATCAGGGATTTTTATAAATGGAACTGAAGCTCTTCATGATCTGTGTAAAACCCAGTATGTCTGCATGATGAGTGACTTTATGGATTTCTGAAATTCTCTTAAAAAGTTATTTGTAGCGAGAGCCTTATTAGCCATGATATTAGTTGTAAAGCTGAAAAAGAAAGTGCACAATTCCTAATGCTCACAACACAATCAGATCTGTAATGCAGCGCTGCCTGAGGGTCCGAAGATCACGGCATCTGATATTGACTTTCTGCCTTGTTTTTTTTTTATTTTTTTTTCACACAGGGATTTCACCACATATTTGAAATCTTTTGATTCTAAGCTAAAGATGGTGGGATATTCAAGGTCACAATTTTCTGTTGAGGAGCATTATTCTAACATTGTTCCACTATGATGAATAAAATATGGGTTTGTGGAATTTCTATGAAAAATCAGTGCATTCTGTTTTTATTTACATTTTGCACAAAGTTCCAACTTTGTCAAAATTGCAGTTGTGTTGTAACACAGATTTTGTGTGTGTGTAAATAGTGGCAATAGTCTCCTGTAGCCATATGCCTAAACGCTTGCTAGTGCAAAGCTCCGCCTTTTTGCACAAAGCCCCTCCCTGGAGCTCAGTCTGCAGCCAAGGCTGTGTCCAAATTCAGGGGTCCTTCAAAGAACTTCCCGGTCTAGGTGGGCCGAGTCCTTGATAGACTGTGAATGTCGGGAAAAAGTGTCTGTGAATTTAGACCAGTGGTTCCCAAACGTTTCAGCTTTTGACACACGAAATACCAGCAGCAGAGACCTGTGCCCCCAGCTGTTGTCAGTTGATAAACATTGTTTTCGCGTGAAATAAACAAGAGCATATAACATTATTTATTATGCTATTTTTGTCCATTTTAAGTACACTAATTTTATTATTTTGTAACAACAAAGGCAAACAAAATGTTCTTAGTAGTCATTTTTTGGTGTAACTGTTTCAAAAAAAAATATTTTCAGGACCCCACCTTGATGTTTCAGGACCCCACTTTGGGTCCCGACCCCAACTTTGGGAACAACTGATTTAGACGGTCTAGTTTTCTGCTTTATTCCTGCCCTTACCCCGACGTACTTCCTGTTGCCTATCAACCGTGACAATGCTAAACAGTAGCAAAAATAGATCAAAATTAGCAAAACATCTTTATATTAACATTATAAATATTATAAAACAACCAAATTAGCTTAAATGCAATATTTGAAGAACTAAGGGACTTGCACATATGTTTATTTTACTAAACCAGCTGGAGAAGGATCCAACAGACCCCTCCCTCAAATCGAGGCAAAAAGAGGACGCATTTGTCGGCCGCATCGGAGGAGTTTTCAAATTTCGACAGCCTCCAGTGCGGCGCTGTGACATAAACGGATGACAAATTCAGCCTTCAGAGGACCCAACCCCTGAATTTGGACACAGGTTAAAGATAGCCTGGAACTTACATAATTACACCCCCACTTAAAAAAGGTTGTGTGGAAGCCTGAAAACAGCACAAAACAGAAATATGTGTGGCTATACATCAGCCTAGTTCAGAGGACGACTTCTTTTCTCTGATCGATGTTTTGGCTGATAAGGTGGTAATGATAACTGTTTGATAGAACATGGCTTCAAAAATGAGCAYACTCTCCCTTTAGAGCGAAGAATGGCTGAATTACAGACTATYAGAAGAGTTCATAGACAGTAGTAAAAGTGCTCCTGATAAAGGATGGAACAATGAAGGCGGCCTGCGACGGAGGGCGTGAATGAGGGTGCAGTGTGTCTTCGAGGCTGGCCTGCAGTGGCACGGCGGTCAGGAGGCCTGCTGCTTTAATGGTCCATAAATCTGCACGGACTGGCTGGTCCGATGCCGCCCCTCTGAGACCCTCTCACGCGGAAAATGAATCAGACCGTTTTTACAGATCGCAAGTGTGGAAGCTCTCACCCTCCCTTGCCCTGCTGCCAGTGAGCCGATAAGAGCTGCTGCTCGAGCACAACACTCCATTTAGGCAGGGKGGGAGCTCATAAAAATCTCCATTAAGGACTACCTGTGTTTGTGTGCTGCTCTTCATTCAGCCTGTTCTCTTGCCTTTGTTGTTCTCTCTGTTCCTTTTTTTAATTTTGCTCGGTCCTTCGTTAGGTTCTGGAGTGTGAACACCAAACTATATTACTAACAATTAAACTAAGTGTACTGAAACTTTCAGGAAATTGTAATTGGATGTGTATTTACAGTTGATTCCTTCTTTTTTTTAGGTCA